GGGACGGCGGTTTGGACAGGTCCAGAGGAGGGACGGCGGTTTGGACATGTCCAGAGGAGGGACGGCGGTTTGGACATGTCCAGAGGAGGGACGGCGGTTTGGACAGGTCCAGAGGAGGGACGGCGGTTTGGACATGTCCAGAGGAGGGGTGGCGGTTTGGACATGTCCAGAGGAGGGACGGCGGTTTGGACAGGTCCAGAGGAGGGACAGCGGTTTGGATAGGTCCAGAGGAGGGACAGCGGTTTGGACAGGTCCAGAGGAGGGACAGTGGTTTGGACATGTCCAGAGGAGGGACAGTGATTTGGACATGTCCAGAGGAGGGACAGTGGGTATATTGTTAGAAGGATGTTAGAAATGCAGCTGCAGGAAAAAGACAAAGAGGAGACATCTGGATGCAGTTAGAGAGGACATGGAGTGAGGACAGAGGACAAAGTGAAATGGAGGAGCTGTGGAGACCCCTGAAGAAGACGAACACTTTCTTCCTTTTCAGCTTCGCTTAATTTCCCTGGAGGAAGAAACATCTTGGACTGTCCGGCTCGTCTCCTCAGGACTCGTCTCTGAAGAGGACAGACACTTCCTGTCACATGATCACAGGAAGGAAAAGACCAGTTCTGTCTCATTACTGACAGTTAAAGTAATTGTCTCTAAATCCTGTTTACTTTGCGTCTCTGCCTGACGTTCTCCATGAACCAAAGTACTACAGTTTAAACACTGTGTACTTAATTAATAAATATGGTGTACTAAATATAATAAATACTGTGTATTAAACATAATATATTAAATATAATACTGTGTAATAAATTCATATTGTGTATTAAATATAATACTGTGTATTAAATATAATACTGTGTAACTCAGATTACTCCATGCGGGCCTCCAGCTGTTGCAGTGGTGCCTCCAGCTGTTGCAGTGGTGCGTTCAGGTGTTCCAGCTTCACCTTCACAGGCAAACTAACAGAAATCTGAGGATTTCTCCATCAGTAATTTTTTTGACTCCAACATTAAAGTTTTGTTTCTTCAGCCGAAGTTCCTCAGATTTTCCAAATAAAACCAACAACAGCCGAAGGATTTTATTTCTTCAGGCGTGCAGCTTCAGCTCCAAAGCTGCTCTGCAGATCTAAAACTTGGGAGGTTCTGGGGAGTCTGACCCAGGTCTGTCAGGGTCCAGGAGGACCCTGAGGAGGTCTACATGGGGAAGACCAGGACGACAGTGGAGGTTCTGAGGTGATCCTATGGCAGGACGATGGATCAGTGGTTAGCACCGTTGCCTCACAGCAAGAAGATCCTCGGTTCAATCCCCGGTTGGACCTGGGGTCCTTCTGTGTGGAGTTTGCATGTTGTTCTCGTGTTTGCGTGGGTTTTCTCCAGTTTCCTCCCACAGATCAACAACATGCACGTGGTTCAGGATCAGGCCTCCCTGTGGTTCAGGATCAGGCCTCCCTTACAAACGTGTCTGATTAAATAAAGTTAATAAATAAATCCTCCCAGAGCTGGAACTAAGACCTGGTCCACTCCAGGACCAGACCTTTGCAGATGGAGGTTCTGGTCTGGGTTCCTGTAAAGTGGATGACTGCCACTAAATATAATTATTAATAAAACTAATGAATTAAACATCAAAAATGAATTCCTAAAATCTGTAAAGAACTTACTCAGGGTTCTGAAAACAGGACCCAGCTGGGTCCAACATGGGGCCTCCAGCGGTTCTGCCCCCATCACTCACTGCAGTCTGTTAGCAAAATATTTCATGAACCGCAGGACAGATTTTAAAGACTCTTAGAAAATAATAATTTAAAATAGTTCGTAATCAGCCCAATTCAAGATGGCCGCCGCAGCTGATCTGTCTTGTAGCTATGAATGAACTTGACAAACATCGTGCTCAGTCTGGAGGTAGCTGAAAAACAGAATCAGAGGATCCCAGAGAGAACCGGGTCTGGATCGGCAGGTGGGCCCCTCAGCCTCATGAGACGGGATCATGTCCGCTCCTGGACTGAACCGTTTTACCGACGTTCAGTTTGTCATCGTGAGCTCCTCTCGTTGAAACAGGAAGTCCACCTGGATGAGTGTCCGAGCCTTCAGTTTGTTAGAACTCGTTTTGTTTCGGTCCGCAGCGCGAACAAACCGACCTGCTGCAGGAACACCTGGTGCCATGAGGTGGTCCCACACCTGATTCAAGTTTTTAATGGAGCCAGCAGAGTTCTCATTTTAAACGTTTTCTCCGTCAATGATCTGATGTGGACCAGAGGAGGTCTTAACGAGGATCAACAGGTTTCTGTGGACCTGCAGGCCCAGGTGGTCCTGCAGTCTTTAAAAGTCCCCCCAGGGTCTTAAATGTGCATCTTTGTTCCGCTTCTCGTCTAAACCTGGTGAGAAGCAGCGGTTCCTCCTGAAACAACTCGAGCTGCGCTGAAGAAATAAAACCTGTAAACGTGTCCGTTTGTCGAGTTTAGAGAGACCCGAGGACACAGAACAGAACCACCCCCAGTGTTCTGATCCAGTTCTGAACAGAAAGTGTTCGTTGGGTTGATGCCGCTCCGTACTGGACTGGTTCTGGTCGGGTGGACCAGCGGTTCAGGTTGGTTCTCGATCTGTTCTGAAGGTTTCTGCAGCAGAAAATAAACTTCAACTCAAACAAGATTTAAAAAAACGAAACGAGCCGTCTACGATTTTAAATCTTGTTCGGATCAACGACCCGGTTCTGCAAATCCTGACCGCTCATTTCGGACTAAACGTCAAAAACTCCCTGAGGTTCTGGTTCGATTTGCTCGTGAGCTGCAGGTCGTCACCCTCGTGCCAAAAACCCTCTGGACACACGTGAGACAAACGTCCCGGACGTCTCCGTGAGACAAACGTCCCGGACGTCTCCGTGAGACAAACGTCCCGGACGTCTCCGTGAGACAAAGAGTCTTTGCACCGGCTGCAGTTTTACGACGATCGATCTAAAAGTCCGTTCTGCTGAGTCAGTTTTCTAAGCGACACCGTCGGGGGTTAAAGGTCACAGCGCACCTTCAGTTTCCATCATTGTAGTGAAAAACAATCAATGTTCTAGGAACAACACAAACTGGTTTAACTGGTCGTGCTCTGAAATATAAATGGTTTACACAACTGTTGTTAAAACAAATAAATTAAAACCGGTTTCTCGTGAACGCGTCGGGCTGATGTACCGGTGCGCCTCTAGTGGGAGCGTTGACGCAGCGTGATCCAACTCCAGATGAATTCTGGCGCCAACGTTGTGCCGAAGCTACGAATCCACGGAAACCGTCGTGTTTCACGGCTGCTCGGAGAACAACGGGCTCCAGAACCAGAACCGTCCCGGGTCAGACGGGTTCACAGTCCAGCAGTGTCTTTTTAAATTATTAACAGGGTGTTGGGACGGAAACGTGTCCACACGACGCCGGAGATTTTCAAAAACAGCCTTTCTGCCCCTCGTCAAACTTTTAGATTTAAAACCCAAAACTTTCTGAAATAACGACCGAGCAGACAAACTCTTAAAACTTTAATTTATTTAATTCTCAAACTCTTAAAAACTTTATTTTATTTTATTCTCAAACTCTTAAAAACTCGTTGCTTTTTAAAAGCCATGTTTTAGTCAGCTGTGATTTGTTGTTTTCGAAGGAAACCTTTAAATTATTGCGCTTTAAAAAATAAATTAAAACTCGTCTCTTCGTTCAGATAAAATCTGGTCTTGTCCAGAAAAGATGAAAAACAAAACGAAACCAGTTCCAGGAGAATCTTCAGGCAACTGGAAACCAGTTGAGCATCGTCTCCGTGTGGAGGAACACGAGCGTCACGGCGTCGGATGAGACGAAGCTGAAGAAAGAGAACACCTTCATGGACGTTCCTCACCAGAACTCGGCCCGTTTCATGAGGTTCTGGTAGAAAACGTCTTCCTGTTTGATTTGACTGGTTTTACTGGACAGGTTTGAAGCTGAAGCTTTAAGAGGAGTCATCGTACTTTGGTTCTGCCGAAACTTTTTATTGTAACTTTTGATAAACGAGTCGTTTAAAACGTTTCATTCTGAACTCTGGAACATCTGGAACATCTGGAGTTTGGGTCAGAAACGTTCTGAACAGCTTTAGAGGATTTGTCTGTTCCGTAACTCGAGGCTGAGAACTGGTTTGGTTCTGAAACAAGGATCGTGAACCGGTTTTTGATTTGACCCACTTTGGGCTCATTCACATCTGGATCAGGTCTGCTGGAGACCAAGATTTAATGGTTTGGCACAAGTTCTGGTGGTTCTGGTTTGGGTCCGTTGTACTTTTAAGAGGAAATGGAACTCTTTGGAACATGCAGTAAATAAACCAGTTCAGGGTTCTGGTTCTGGGTGTTTGGGCCCAGTTCTTGCTGCTTTTTAAACACTTGTTAGTCACAAGAAGCTGGACTGGGTTTGCTGGTTCTGGTTAGGATGGAGACTGGATTTATTCTGGGTTTGGATCATTTCAGGCTCGAGCATCGTCCAGAATTATTCAAACAGAACCATCAGTTTAATGTGAATTATAATTAGGACTAACTTTGGTCCTTCAAGTCCAGAACCCTGTTGGATCTGACTAAACTGGTTCTAAACCATCAGAGAAACTAAATATTGGACCCGTGTGGTTCTGACAGTGT